GGAACATGTACTTCCGCCTCTTCATCTAAAGTACTTATAACGTTTAAATATGCCTTTCCGGCAACGTTCTCCACGATGGTGTCTCCTAAATAAATTCCATGTGCCACTTTTAGTCTCGGTATATATCCTACCTTTAGTTCTGGATTTTCTATTCTTACATAAAATAATGATTCGGATCGCGGAGCTACTATAATGGCTTCAGGCGGTAAGAAAGGTATGTTGATTCCGGAGACATCCAAGTGCCCTTGTGCGTAATCTATTTTCGATGAAGTTTGTTTAAAGAAATCGTTTCCTAATATGCCGGATTGTGAAATTGGAAAATCGTTAGATACTATATGAAATATAACCGGTATTTCGAAAAGAGTTAATATAATATCTCACCTAAGGTGTATACAGGATAATTATTTATGCCATTCAATTTGAGGATATTAGTGTAATTAATATTTATTTCTTCGGGAATTAGATTTTCTTTAATTATATTAGGTCCAGATCCCGTGTCTAGCATAAAAGTTATACGAGTAGCTAAGTTATCGATGTTAATTTGAACTGTAGGCGCGCGACTATGTTTGTCGAGATTTACAGTCACGGGCCTTATGGTAGTTCTGTCCTTGTCTACTTGGCTACCTGAGTTTTGGACGGGTGCGGCTCTCGTTCGGACCCCTGTTGTGCACCCGCGGTCGAGGGGCCGTTGTAGTTTTTCTGATTATTTTCTTTTTTTCGAAAATTACTGGCATGGCGTAATTGACAATTTTCGAGAAGATGACCTTGCTCCTTGCAATAGCGGCAGAATAAAGAATTCCTAGATCCCGTTTGCTGGTTTAGTTTTGATCGACAATCTTTAGCAATGTGTCCGAAGTTGTTGCAAATTTGACAAGTTACGCGAGTTTTATTTCCCGCATAACGTTGTTCGTTCTGTTTCTCCCAGCAATTATTTGCAGAATGGCCGGATCTTTCGCACCATTGACAAATTACCGAGATTTTATTGTTATTAGTTGTATTATTCTGTCGGCAAGATTTTGCATCATGACCGGATTTTAAACATAATTGACAATTGGCGTTGTTGTGGATCGCGAAAGCGGCATTTCTCTGCTCCATGCCCACGTTTTTTACAAATTTGACATACTAATATCGCGGTTCCTAAATCAATCTGGTTATTAATTTGTTGAGATGTTTGTAAATATTTCTTGCAGTTACTGCCTACGTGCCCTTCCTCATAACAGATTTGACAAATTTCCTTTAGACTGTTAGTTTTTTGTCTACCTGAACTGTTATCTATTCCCTGTCGTAAATTTGTCATTTCTCGGAGCTCTCTCTCTATCCTTAAAGCGTCGGCTGCAGTTTCTTGTACATTTAATAAATTTCTTGCAACTCGTTGTTCAATCTCTGGTTTTAATCCTCTAATAAAACACTTGCACATGTCCTTTTCTAATGATGCTTTAATATTTTGGTCAGACGACACGTTTCCCGAACTTCTATATGTTTCTAAAATTTGTTTTCCAAGAATCTTTACTCTATTTGCATAAGTAATTACATCTTCATCACCCTTTTGATATATACAACCCAATTCCCCTTGTAATTGATAAACGTTTTTTGCTGGTCCATAAATTTGTTTTAAATATTTAGTTAATTGAGAAACGCTATCAAAATCTTGACCTTGTATAGTTCGGCGAGCCTCCCCTATTATCCTGGTTCTTATTATTTTGGTAAACTGTGATTCAGCCTCACTAAGCAACATAGATTTCGCTTCTTCACATCCCTCGATAAAATAATTTAATGGAATATTTTGACCGTCAAAATAAGGGACGGCTTCGACCGCGTATTTCAAAGTAGCGAGAGGGTTATTTTGAGTCATGTTGCTGCCGGTACCGCACAGGTCTTTCTTTTTTTCGGATTTATTAAATTCAGGTATAATAGTCTTATCGCAGGAATCGGCAAAATGAGACTCGGCCGCTGTTTCGCTAAACTTTTTTTCGAAATCTTTTTCAATTACCGTTTCGTCTAATGAAAAATTAATGTTTTTAGTGGTTTTATTAGGAGTGGAAGTGTGATGTGTTTCTGATTGGTTAGATTTTGTTCGATTGTATGTTTCCTGAGCAAGCTGAAAATTTCGTTCTACTTCGTCTTTATCAGCTGTACCTCTTGTCCCTTTACTCATTCCAGTTTAAAAGATCGCACATTACAATCCCGGACGAGCCCCCAAAATTTAAAGAGAGCAGTATGTTACGTCCAGACTCGGGGAAAGATGAGTCGACGGAAGGGCGCAACAATATTTAAAAGAAAATACTTAAAATAAAAAATACTTTATCTTCTTTGGTATATTCTATGGCACTTCATTTATCTTCTTTGGCATCCTCTATGGCACTTTATGTTATATTATCTCACAATAATACAGTATAGTTTTATTTATGTAGAATTGGCATTCGTTAATTTTATTTTTAGTATATAATTTTCAACAATAATATAGTTATATATAATATAATATAATTTAATAATATAATATCAATTTAACTACACCTATAAATTCATTCACTTTTGTATTACTGTAATATCATACTTCAATGTAGATCATTCTTCAACTGTATGATGTTACAGTAATAAGTGAATGAATTTATAAGTACAATTAGATTGAGCTACTTTACACAATATTTTATTGCCAATAAAATTAACGATGCCAATTCTACATAAATAAAACTATACTGTATTATTGTGAGATAATATAATATAAGCACATATATATTATTTTTGAACATATATATTATTGATGATACAGTTTTATTTATGTAGAATTGGCATTCGTTAATCTTATTTTTAGTATATAATGTTCAACAATAATATATATGTGCTTACATTATATTATCTCACAATAATATAGTACAGTTTTATATGTGTAGAATTGGCATTCGTTAATTTTATTGAATCCTATATAGGCAATAAAAATCTTGTATAAAGTAGCTCAATTTAACTATACCTATAAATTCATTCACTTTTGTATTACTGTAACATCATACAGTTGAAGAATGGTCTACATTGAAGTATGATGTTACAGTAATACAAAAGTGAATGAATTTATAGGTATAGTTAAATTGAGCTACTTTATACAAGATTTTATTGCCTATATAGGATTCAATAAAATTAACGAATACCAATTATACATAAATAAGACTGTACGGTATTATTGTGAGATAATATAATGTAAGCACATATATATTATTGTTGAACATTATATACTAAAAATAAAATTAACAGATGCCAATTCTACAATAAAACTTTATTATTGTGATTTACTTATTATTATTAAACTTTATTATTATTAGATATTCTACATGAATAAAAAACTATATTATATTATTAAAAATAAAACGAATGCCAATTCTACATAAATATAAATAAAACTCTATTATTGCGAGATAATATTAAAAAAAAAAAATACTTAAAAGAAAATACTTAAAATAAAAAATACTTTATCTTCTTTGGTATATTCTATGGCACTTCATTTATCTTCTTTGGCATCCTCTATGGCACTTTATGTTATATTATTTGCTCCCATGCACATCATACGTCCAGACTTCAAGCTTTTTGCCAATACTGTATAACGCAATTTTGTTCCAATCAATTTTCGTTCGCAGTTGCACTGTTCATACTGGCAGTTGTCTTCGCAATGCCTTAAAGGTAGCGTCGGACATCATTTGATAGTTCTCGAAAATTGCTGTTTGATTCTTCGACAAATCGTATTAAATCTTTCGCTGCTTACTTTTTGTTGGGCAGGCTAGGTTCTCCTTTATCTCTTTGCTACTGAATTTCTCTATCTGTTTGTGAAGAAAAGAACAGAATTATAATATTTAATTTAGTTTACATATCTGGTTTCATATGTGCCACTCAATGTTTTATATGTGCTAATTAATTGTACTTACTGTCTGTTACTGCCAAATCTCTATAACCCAATATGTTACAATGTTTAGCAAAATTCTTCTACGGTATAAGACCGTATAGGCGTATTTGCACACTCAAGCGAATAATCGTACATGAGCGCTGCAAACGCGCCTTGAGGGACGAAATTGCTTTGCGTGTGTGTGTGCGAGCATACGTACGTGAGAGTCTGAAACTGAACCTTATTATGATAATGATGGAAAACGAAAAATGTCACATTTCTGGTATACGATTATCATTCCTCAGGATTGACTGCACCAATCTTATTCAAACTGGTCGCAATCGAAAGCTTGCATCCACATTGTATAAGAAAAGTGCCGTTAGATTTTTGATTAACGGCTTGGTTCCTGAGGAACTTTAATCGAAAGTTTATTAGACGTAAAACTCCGGATAAGCTACTTGGAGCGTCGCGGCCCCTGTACATAGGCAAACCGTTGACAAGCTGGAACGAATTTTTATATATCTCGCGGGAATACGAATTCGTAGTCTACTTCCTACAGCCAAAATAAAGAGAAAATCGGATTCTAATGATGATATTCGTATTCAGCAGCATCAGCAGCATCGACGTACAGAGCGTTTTTTTGAAAAAATGATCAAAATAAAAATTCTAATACTGACAAACAACATACAGCTGATTGTGGATCAGGTGTAGTTGCTCTCGAATTCATATTATATTTTTATTATAAATTTTTAAGAGCCAAATTGCAAAATCCGGCTCTGTACGACTAATTCTAACGATGTAAGGAATACATCAAAACAAGTTTCATGAAAAAATATTAATTTTTCGAGATGTAGGACGAAGACTACGAATTTCACCACATCTGTATCTAAAGTGCAGCTAACAGCAGAACATGGGGAATATTCCGTAGTGGCACACTGGCCGCGTGACAAGGAAAGATGATTGCGTCATCTTTGTCTCTCTTGCACCGCATGTGTAGTAACGTCCGTGAAGGCACAAATACCGATATGTTGAGCACATGGATGCGATTGTTGAGAGACAATATTAGACAAGGAGCGACAATCGCATGCTATCCTTGTTCCTCTAGCGTATCGCTTTACGGCCGAAATATGGCCTGAACCTGAAAATGCTTTTTGGCCTCTCGTGGCAGAAAGCAGTAATGCAACATGACTAACGGGCGCCCATTCTTTGAGAATTTTATATTTACGTATATACATATATGCATAT